AACTGCCTGAAGCTTGGCAGTGTCAGGAAAAATATTGTCTTTATAGACAACATGGCCTAGGATATTTAGCTGACTTGCGCAGGTTTAGTTGAAGGCCGGCGTCAGTTAGGCACTGTAGTACTTCATCTAGCCTGTGGAGATGCGTGGGAAAATCTGAAAAAAATACAACCACGTCATCTAAAAAGCACGGACATGTTTTCCACTTCAGGCCATGCAAAAGATTGTCCATCATCTGCTCGAATGTTGCGGGCGCGTTGCAAGGGCCGAAAGGCATGACGCAGAATTCGTAAAGGCCATCAGATGTGACAAAGGCCGTTTTTAGGCTGATCTTCCGGTGTCATTGGGAATCGCCAGTAGCTGCTCCGTAACTCAATAGAAGAGAGGAACTCCGCACCTTGCAGGCTGTCAAGGGCGTCGTCGATTCTCGGTAAGGGGTAAACGTCCTTTCGAGTTATTTTGTTAAGACGACGGTAGTCAATACAGAAGCAAATTGACCCGTCCTTCTTCTTAACGAGAGCGACTGGAAATTCCCAGGGGCTATTCGAGGGATGGATGACTCCACGCTTGAGCATGTCAGCTACTTGGTCACCAATAACCTGACCCTCTATCTCGGACACGCGATAGGGTCTTTGACGCAGTGGTTTATTGGTGCCCGTGTCGATGCGGTGACACACAGCAGATGTGCGGCCGAGGGGACTATGCTGGGAGTCAAAGGAAGAAGGGAACTTGTTCAGAAGTCTTAGAAGCTGAGCACGTTGCGAAACGGTTAACGTGTCAGCGATGGAGCTGCTCAGTATTTCAGTTCTAGTATTCTGCAGCGAATAGGCACAGGTCAATCCAGCGACTTCGTGTTCGGCGGAGGAACCAGTCGACATGTCACTAATTGCAGAAGGGTCGACACTGTAAACACGCTCGACTCACTCGCCCCGAAGTAGTGTTACAGGACATGACAGAAGATGTAAGATAAGCAGTATGCTGACACCGTCATGAAGTTCCAAAAGGGCATGAGGTACCGGCGAACACTTGCGACGAACAAAAACGGCAGATAGGGTGAAGAGGGCACTTGACTTGGCGAGCACGTTGCAAGACACCATGGCAAAGGCAAAAGAGTGCGGCAGTATGATAACGTCTTCAGCAGCAAATAGTTTGTCCCTGGTTTCAACAGCGTCATGTAAAGTAGCGTCGCTAAACACTTCAAATGCCACCTCAGTGCGCGAGCAGTCGATGACGGCCTTATTAGCGGAGAGAAAGACCCAACCCAAAATGAAGTCCTGGGATAAGGAATCCAACACTAGTAATTCGACGACATAGATGAGGCCGTGAATCGCAATGTGAGCAGTCCAGGCTGAACGACTTCGACCACACCAACACCACATCACTCACCACGTTAATCTGGGTGTGGAGAATATTTTGCTTCGTAACCCCTTCATCAACGATTTGCGTACAGTGTACTGTCATCTACCAACAAACGCACGAAAACAAGCGGCACAGCATTTGCCATGTTTTCGAGAGTGAATGCGAGTTCGCGCGACTTTCCGCGTTCACTGAAAATATTGGGATTCATGCACAACAAAAGCACTGGTGAATTCTATACGCGCGTAAAACAAGGTGAACTTCAACTGCAAAGGTCGGATAACATTTAACTAACTACATAATCTCGCGAAGCCTGCATGTGTTCTCTACGAGCTCTAATCAAAAACGTGAGTTGCCACAATTTTCACTTTACAGTAGCTTAACGTCTTGCAAGAACGAATCAGTTTGATCGTCTCATGGATGGTCCGGTTTATTTACTCATACAAAAAACATTCAAAGTAGTTAGCGTTCGTATCTTATTATCATGTTACATTGAGGTTAGCATAACTCAACAATTGAACATCTCTGACCATCCTCGAGAGGATGCCCCTGAATTCCGCTTAGTGGCGCAACAGTACACTCGCAAATATAACTTGTGTGTTTCCCATGGCGGTCAATTATGATCGAGGTTTGTGCAAACGAAGGCACGCAGCCTCATTCACGACAATGATTACCGAGACGAGAACATACCCCACGCTTCAAGAAATTGTTATGCTCACGCAGCCTGATTATGAAGCATCGGCCAATTTGTACAAGCATAAGGTTATCATGTAATCGGGTCAGTTGCTGAAAAGACCCTTGCAATCATCCCCACCGGTAGATTGAAAAATGTGTGAGGTTGAGTCGGAGCTCGGAAGGACGGGATATCTTACCCTAAACCCAAAATATATCTCGTAGAATCAAGAAAGTTTTGACAAAGTTTCACAGGTGGTTTTTATTCATGTGAAACAAGCTAAAAGGACTTTCAAAAAGATCAAACAATTGTCGAATTGGAAGGAAGGAATGGTTAGGAAAAGAAAGAAAACTAGTAAAAATGCTCAGAAAGCATTGTTTACAGCACTCTCCACTCCTGTAATAGAAATTGCATAGGCCGAACCGGTAAGTGTATTAATGAGCGACTAACGACCACAATTGCGCTGGGTCACATTTAACGCAACCTGGTTGTTAACCAGTGATTATGTTTGGTTCCACTGGTTTTTGTGCCACGCCCACGTTATACTGCAGTTAGTCTAGTGGCCTGGCCACTGTTTTTCTAATGCGTTTTTATTGATGATTTTTAGGTTTTCTTTAGGGTCGTTTGTACACAATTTATGATAATACCTCGCAGTTTAACCGAACAGCTATTCTTGTCTTTCTAATATTATTAGCCAAAAAATGCAGGTATGCCATGACGCTGTGTGAGGGTTTCGCTAAATTGTTATTCTATACAATCTAGCGCTGGAACTTGGCGTGCTCTCAGTACGTACCACCTGCAACTTTCTCACTACAATTCTAGAATAAGTTTCTCAAACACCGATCTCTCGAACTAATACTTGAATATGTCCAAGTACTCAGAAAAAAATTTACATGTATATTTAGCACGCTTGAGTACCATAATTCTAGTCATAATTTCATATCCGTGCAGGGCGTGCATGAATCAGCGATAACTGCTGGTGTTATGTTTACGTCATTGTTCAATTTTTTTTTTAAAAAGCGTCAACTCACCGATTCTTGGAGCTCTCACTCAATGAGACCACAGAGCTCAGTTCAGTAAGGAATGGCATTCAAAATCGTCCCGCAAAATGCAAACAATTAGCTCGAGCAAACAGTGAAGCAATGTGCAGCACCTTTTTTTGTACTTAGATGAAATCACACAGAGTCGTCGCACTATACTGATTTAAAGATTTCCATAATAACAGACATACATTCATATAGATTGAAATGATCAGAATTTCTGAGATCTTCAGAATGTTAAAAAAAACATGAAGTGCGTCTTTATGGCAAGTGCAACAAATAAAAAAAAACTGGATTAGCAATGTTTCAATCACTTCATCACATGTCGCCGCTAAGGCGGCTTGTTGGAAGCATAAGCCCAAATACTTACGTTGCACTCAATGTAGGTTTCCGTGATGGACGGTGACAGAAAACGCGCATGTAAGCGCTAACATTTAAGCTTGCTTAGAAAATATGAGTTACATCAAATGCTTTTATTGCATTTCGCCACCACTGCAGTATCTTGTCGCCCTGTGCTGCCTTAGAGTTGAATATTAGTACATAAGAGCCAAATCTGATACTATAGTCTTCATGGGAGCTGAAACGCATCAGGTTTGAGCTACAATAGAAATTATGGTATTAGCCAAAGCCTCGCTCTTTCGTCTCCATGTGGCCTGCATTCACTTGTCACAAGACGAAGTTGAGAAACGTTCAGCAGTTCAACTCCACCACGTTCGCTAATTTATTCTCATTGAATTGAATAAATTGAAATCGGCTAAGGAGGTTCCTAACAAGACGTTTCGTGTCTTGCGAAAAACCAAAGCCACAAAAAAAGAATAGTAACCCAAGTCATAAATGTGTTCGAAGCCGCAAGGACCAAATAAATTCACCTGCTCGCCGTCATTTTATATATGGTGGCCGAGCAATCGCAGGGCGCACAGTTTCATCACATAAATATTGCGGGGATCTCGATGACAAAATTGTCGAATCGCAGCCCATACCCGTAATGTATCAGCTTCAAGATCTGACACCGGGCAAAGCGCGATATGCAACCTGACAAAGCACCCGCCAATAAAAAAGGGCTCTTCAACTCATTTGCGAAAAAAATATTCTCTATGAGAGAGATACGCCTAGTGAGTTCGTGCGTAGCTAAAAAAATTGTTGTGGCCGCGAAAGAAGAAATGAGAGCTGACAGAAGAGGAGCTGGGCACCCTACCCTGTCTTATTTCAATTTTTTCCCAGTGGGAGAAGCACCGCAAATATTTTGTTGAACTCTGTTAACATCATTCAGATGAGCTCGTACTTGTTTATTATGTACTGATCATATCTTATGAAGCAGCGCAGAGGCGGCCACAATCATTCAAACATAAATTGCACCAATCTATGTGTGCGTAATTGCATCCGTTTCCGCGCTGCTTCATAAGGCATTGTACCTAATTGATGTTGTCGTAGTGTTGCACAAAATGTATATATCCGAATCAGCTAGAACAACGCAGTGCTTTCGAGTTACATAATGTTACACGAACAACATGTTTAGTGAGCCCGATGTCATGATATGGTGGCGTCTGTCGTAGTAACGAAGTGCTCACGTTAACAAAAATATTTTGGAATTTTACGTGACACTGAAGAAATATGTTCTAGAAATATTTTCTTCCCGTTGAAAGGTTAAAAACAAGTAGGAATCATATGAAATGAAAATTCTTGGTGGAGCCATTTGAAAATTCTTTCTAAAACTTTCATTGATATTACTAATTATCTCTGTGCTCCACAAACATGCTCGACGTCAATGTTCGGGCGTGTTCACTTGTGATAAAGATTTACGAAAGCTTTTTTACAACTGAAGAAAACATCCAACACTTTTTGGATGTCCATGAAAGGAAATGATTTTTGCTTATGGTGTCATGGAGCATTGCTCATTCGTTTTTTGGAAAGCAGTATTCACACTTACGGCGGTCTTTGTAAATAAGATTCATTTAATGCAAAATATGTTCAATGTTTTCAATACATTTCGCGGGAAAATGAAATTGCGTTTTAGGGCATTCGGCAAAACAAATAACTGATGAAGTAAACTCAGTCATGAAGTACAAGCAGTAACCTATCCTATACCTGGCTGCATTTATGCTGAGCATATGTGCTTGCAGAAGAAAAAAAAGAACAACCTCAGCGAGCCTCCTTTTACTGGTTTGGCACGCGCAGCTGCGGTGTTGTCACACCGAAAACGCCTTGACAGTTTGGCAGAGTGCTGGGATTTTTCGTGCCATTTCTGATGGTTCGCGCCAATTGCCAATGGTTTTGGACAAACCATTGGTGCATTAAGTAGTAGATAGGAGGAAGAAAAGAGCCACCTGTGGCATCATTCGTAGAGAGAGGTTGGCATGACCGAATCACGAGGCGAAAATGCGGATGCATGGTTAAAAAAAATGACGACGAAGTGATAAACAGGCTGTCAGAGCGTGCAAGCGCCTGGTGATAGTTCGAGAAGGGCACGATGATATCTTAACTTGCAAGCACGTGATGTCGATTGCAGTTAGCCTAGAGCTTCTGAGTGTCACTTACTTTCTCGCCTCAAAGTTAAATTTTCTAGCACCATTTTACGACGCCTTAAGGTGGAGCCCTGTGCCCCATTTCTCCAGTTACGTCAGGGAATTCACCCGTGTGGATAATCTTTGTTCTTATAATTGTCTCACATCCTTTAGTGAAACCTCGAGTAATTTTCACTTGCCAGGCTGCGTACATAACGAGTTCTTTGCAGCTGGCAGGTGTAGCCAGTAGCAGCCACAATATACCGGCTGCGTGATCGCCAACCATACGTCCTGTCCGAAGTTTTTTTTAACTAGGAATGGGCATTGCTTTCCTGTTTTGTACGTATGCGAGCGCAAAAAACACAATGGCAGTGAAAAGCTGAATGCCGGCAAGGAGTCTCAGGAGATTGTCGTACGATCCCATTTTGTCTCGGAAGTGCCCTGAAAAAAAAAAAACGAAAAGCACTTTGAGCATGCTATGAAACACGATAGCTATCACCAGAAAACGGCCACTCCTATTCCTCGCCTCATCATCATTTCAATAAAAGTTGTGAACGATGTCAGTCGTTGTAAACAGGACAATCACAGTGGTCCTTTCGTATGTGTTGTCTGACTCTTTAAATAGTTTGAAAGACCCTGCTTTTGCGGATTGAAGTACTTTGTTGTTACCTATAAGATAAGGCTTCTGTTTCAATGAAAAATCTTAGTTTTGTAGACGTTTTTGAGTGATAGCATGAAACAATGCGCCCGTATTTCGTTTACAATGTGAATCAATAGTGATCATGTGGTTTCCGTGCTTTCAGCGAGCTTTGTGGGCAAGGAATCCTTGCTGTTACACACTGCAGTGGACCATTTCGCAAATTCACATAAGCTCCTAGCAACAGCCGTCCAAAGTGGCCGGATGAAAACTCGCCGACACCGCAATGTTCTAATGATGAAATGCATTTGAAATTGGTGTCGGGGTGCACGATACCATCTCGAGGTTTTATTTATTTTTTTCATTGTGTTAAGTCAGAATTTAGCCTGATTATACCAACACGAGGCGGTTTTTTTTTGCTGTGTTACGTCAGCAATACAGTTTGCTTATTCTCACCCATGCGTGCAACTGTTTAAACATTTTTATTAAAAGCCAAAAATATATGGTAAATAGGCGTGTGCTGACACTGTTGGTTACAAAAATTATGTTCGAGGAACGGACGTTTCGCGCACACGAAAGCTCTTTGAGCGAAAAATCGCGCTCAAGGGAGGTTGGTTCGTGCTTACATGTTGCGGAAACGCCACACATTATTTGCATCACTTTTCGCTGTATTGTTTGGCAGGGTTACTTGTGCGAGTTCTGAAGAATGGTATAAGTTGGTCTTCGAGGTGTCTGGTGGACCCCTCTAATCAGCTTCCGAACGTCAGTCTAGATGGCGATACATTACCGCTACGAAGATGCAGAAAGTGCAAAGACAGAATCAAAAATGTGCGTGAAATTTGCATATTATGGTTTCAGGTGCTTAATATGCCATTTAATACAGACAAAATTTTCACTCTTAAAGGAAAGGTGGCTAAATCGTCTTTTGCTGTGATCGTCTCGCTGAGATTAAGTAATATGCCTATTTCGACATGTGCGACGTGGTGTAGCCTTCGATAGAGCAGGCTCACCTAGTTTGTTTCTGCCGCATATGGAAAGCTGAAAAATCTATACTTGCCGAATGGTGAATCGTATAAGCACTTGCGTGTCCAGACGGATCCTCACAGAATATAGGCGTAGAATGTGGGAACACAAATGCAACTAGACACAACGCTACATTGTCGTATGGGTCTCGGCTGTTCTGCATGCAACGTTGCTAAACTTTGCCCCAAGTAGAACACAACGCTTGAAGCTTTGAAAAGGGGTCAATTGTAATTTAACAATGCGACAAAAGAAATAGGAATTTTCATTATGCAATGTGCTTTCCCTAATTAGAAATTGGGCTCTCCAAAATAAGTCGGTGTAATTGGCTTACTTTACTTACTGCCAAATGTTAAATGACTTAGTGTTACAGAACATCCTTTTCTCCATTTAGCAAGTCAACTGCGTGTGCGCACTACACTTAGGAAAATTCTCTCTATGCTTCGTAAACGATGGTTTTGTACAATATTTTAAATTTGCTACAATTTACCTGTTATGAAGGGATTTGCAGAAAGAAGAGGAATCAGAGCAAGTCCATTGGCTCCCCAGAAGGTGGGCACTGCTTTAGCACCAAAGCTGTCAGCCACAAGGACTGCCTTCAGGGTAGTCACGCACGCCAGGAAAAATATCGTTGTCATCTACGTAAAGATTGCAGTTTTCAAACTTCATTAAGAACCTCTGCGTGTAGGCTGCACGTACACTAAAGCCCTTATTGAAAATGTTTCTTTTTTCACGTCCAAATCAAATATATCTGCCGAAAAAGTCTGTTACCATTATCATTAGGAATGATGAAATGAAGATACGCTCGGAAACTTGTGGTAGACGTGGCTCGTTTGCTTAATGAAATTGTTCAACTTTGCAGAATTCATCTATTGAGTGGCGCTGCTGCCACCATACAATGGTAGAGCTTTCTTAGAGCTAAGAGGAAGGGAGAAAGTATCAATGGGCCTGCTACGTTTACAAAGGAAATGTGTAGATCACAAGTTGCCGATGACTCTGGTAAGTGTTTTTTTCAACACCCTAATCCAGGGCTGAACAGATGTCGGGGCAAATCGTTTTATTTGGTAGCTGCATAAACAAGTCATGTACGCTCAGAGCCAAGTATGCTCCGTGTAGCATGGTACCAGTTATAACTGTTAGGGTAATACATATATGTATAATGATTGTGAAGATTGATGGGTCTGGTGCGATAGGTGATTGAACTGAAGAATGCATGTACGAAGGCAAGAAACTTTTGACCCCCCCTCCCCGGTAGCTGTTTAAGATGGTGATAGTGACAGAGTCGACATTTTGCGGCTGGCTTAGCGGCAACGCAGTCTTTTACTACAAATAGAGTTTTGCTCTCAAGCAGCATCACTGCTTAAATACGCGAGCGTAGAATCGCGCTAACACGGCGGCGTTTATGGGAGCACTTTTTATTTTACTTGCTTCCTACTGCCGCCATCTTGGCGTGGTTCAAATGACCAAAATTTTGATCCCATCTGGAGTAACTGCACAAAAAGATGACGCATGCGAAAGCAGCGGCCGCTGGAGTTAAAAAGGCCACCGCAGTGCTCACTACAGCTTCAACGAAACCCGCGCGATGAAAACACAGCACTTACACATGGTATCAGCCGTCTGCTGATCTCTGACAACATAAGGTGCGCGCGACTGTACGTAGATCATAGAACGTACAGTCGCGCGCGTTTCTTGCAGCTGAAGTGCCGCAGACCCCTTCTGAACCCTCCAGCCGTAAACATTTAGCATGAAGGGAGGTGGTTCGAGTGTTTTCAATTCGCTTAAGCCGCGATCATGGTTGTCTTCGTACACTTTTTCTTGCGCACAAAACATACGACGCAATTGACAATATTATTTACACGTAATACATAATCTCGATTCCAGGTAACTGAATTACGAGATGACAAATCCTGAAAGCCTCAAATGCAACAGACCAAATAGGAAGTGCAGTTTGCGAAGTTAGTCAATAGGCGAGAGGTAGCCGACACCAGAAGGTATAACATAAAGAGAATCGAGCAGGCTGTAAAAAGCCACAGTAGCCTAAAGGCTGCGAAAGCAAACTTGCGCATAGGCAAAAATCGGATGTATGCATTAAGAGACAATGAACTCAATGACATAATTAATGTCGAAGGAATAGTAGAGGTGGCGGAGGAGTTTTACAGAGAGCTGTATAGAAACCAAAACAACCATGATGATATCGTAAGAAGCAATAATAGCCCTGAGGGAATCGTCATCTTACCAGCAAGGTTAGGGGAAGTAATAAAAGCACTAGAAGGAATTCGAAGACGCAAAGCCTCAGGTGAGGATTAGGTATCAATGGACCTTGTGAAAGATGGCGGAGAAATTGTGCTACAAGAACTGGCAAACTTGTATACGTGAAAGTCCTGACGGGTATGCACCAGAATATTGGATGAACGCACACATAATCCTAATACATAAGAAATTACATAAATCTTGAAAAATTATTAGCCAATCAGCGATTAGCCAACTCAGAGGACCAATGACAGCTCATGAATACTGAAGTAGACATGAAAAATAGAATAGGACGTCTGAAAAGCCTTACGCATCAAACTAAAGTAATGTGTAATAGTGTCGACAATAAACTGCGCTTTTCAATAGGGGAAGAGGCGCTGGAAGTTGTAAAAGAATATGCCCACTTAGGATGGCGTTGCGACTGGGGCTCATTTGTCGCGACCGAAGCCATCCAAAGATAGGGGCGAAGACGAACTGAAGAGCCGAAGCTGAAATCTGGAACATTTATTTACAAATACTTCCAATATTTAGGCAGCGGGATACGACATAAAAAAAAGCAAAGCACACTCGAGCGTCTCTGCGCTCGCGTGCTATATCCTCCGTACTTCCAAGATTCCCTGCAAAGGAAAACAAATGAGTCCAGGACCCTCCAAAGGGATCGTCGTCTTTCACTCCGCCCACGAAGAGGCGATTGCCTCCCGCTGGTGGTGTTAGTAGTGATTTTTTAAGAAAAAGAAGAAGGCACCTAATTTCGGCTGCCCTTAAGGGATCACGGCACAGTGTCTTGCAGGGGAGGGAGGAAGGCGATGAACAGGATAGTTGACAAACAAGTCTGGCGAATGGAAGAAGCAGCAGAAAGCAGCCGCGTGTCCGTCGTGGCAAAGAGGTCGGGAAGTCGCCTACAGCGTCCCAAACTTGTGATGAGAGGCGTGTGGAGGTCTTCTCAATGTAGAAGGGCAAGTGTGCCCTTGCTGTGGTGCGATTACTCACATTGATAACGCTGTACATGTCCAAATTTTTCCAGACAATAAAAACAGCCTGCCAATACACACGCTAGTCTTGAAGTGTTCATTGTGGCCACAGTTTCATCCCAGAAGCATGCTTTCTCAATTCGGAAGAGCAATGACATTAGATAAGCGTAACTACGCATGATGGTCCGTTTTTTTATTATACTTAGACATTTCCGAATCATTAATAAATGGCTGCTCATTTATTTCAGTTGTTTTATCGTGTGTGGACGCAGCACGCTATTGCAATAATAAGCTTCGTCTCATACATCGTGGCATGGTTTGGCGCCTACGCGTAAATACTGGCACGACTATTTCCGAAAAAGGCACGCTAGGGAGGAGGGAGTGTGGTGACTAAAACTGAACTGTTTATTCACAAATATATTTTGCGTAACTTAGCATAGCCATGTTATTGTTTGCGTAAGTTCAAGTGAACTTAACAGCGCCTTCTGGTGCGTGAATATTTTGAGCAGTAAAAGCACCTCACGAGTGTAATTGAATATAGAACTATCCCAGTCGAATATGCGAGGTTATGGAACACTCACACTGCTAATACTAAATGATGTCATTCAGAACTGAAACATCTGGAAGACATTTCTACGGCACAGTGCATATTTCAGGCAATTTTTTAGAATAAAATGTGTTAGTAAGCTCTGAGAGCAGAGGTTGTCGTCAGACACGTGTACAGAGACAGTAAAGCGTCATCATGTGACAACATTCCATGTAGTGAAGCGTTTAGTTGAGATATAATAAATTTGGTGTCTACAAAAATTACAAAAATACTTTTACTTCAATTAGGACAATGTAGTCATAAAACCTGCATAATAACTACTAATAATTTAGTTTCAGATGAGATGCAACGCTCACCCTACACAGCGTTGCATTTCGTCATAATCTGGTCCTTAATTGCGTCACAATCTGGGCTAAGTACATCTCAAATTTGCATTCTGTTCGGAGCTGTAGTAACTTGAGAAGTTTAGGACTGTTGCAGCACGATATACATTTTCCGCACAGTAGGTATCAATCAGTCAAGTAATCAGACGGAAAATGCGCTATCGTTGCACATTATGCCAGAATGTTTAGACGCGTACGTGCCAGAAAAATTGTACCTGGTTTATTGAATTCGAAACACGTAAAAGAAACATTTTTTTTTGCTGAACTTGTAAACCAGGTACGACATAGTTGGAAGACGCAATGTTCTCAAGATAAATTTTAACTACGATTCCTTAGTTGGTATTCTGTGTTATTTGGGATGCTTGGGCATTACCATTTCACCTCTATAAAAATGCAGCCGCCACAGCGAGAACCAAACCCGTAACCTGTGGGTCAGCGACCGCGCACTATAGCCGCTACGCTACCTGTGGTGGACCATGACCTAACAGCTGTGTTAATAACGTTGTAACAGATTTATCCACCAAAGAGACTGTTAAAACGTCTTGTTAAATTTATATTTGACCCACTTAGAGTATATTTGTAGTTGTAACAAAACTAGTCGAGCTGTGACTTCAAATGCCCAAATGAAAACTTAGTTGCAGATTGCTTTGCTGAGCATTATGTAAATGACAACGTTCTCCATTATCTCAAACGTAGGTGTTATTTGGCAATAAGCTTATAGGGGGTACTATTCTTGTCGTGTACCATGCAGCCAAAAAAGAAAAATAATATAGCACTACGAACTAAAAAATGAATGAATAAATAAATAAATAAATGAGAGGTCAGCATATGCAACTTACCTGTACGATAATGTAGCCTGTGAACGACACAGTGTGAGGCAGTGCTAAAGAAGTGATTGTCATTGCACTGAAGCACGATGCCACTAATGTAGTGCGTCCAATAAATTTAAAGTCAGCCACCAATGGAAGGACCAAACGTCCCAAAAATTCGGTAGCTGCGCAATACGTCATTGACAACTCCGCTCTCTTTTGTTCTACGCCTTTGTCCATAGCGTAGTCGACAATCGTCTCTTGCACGACGAGCGCTGTGTAGTCCGAGGCCACAGCTCCCAGGACGAGGAGGTAAAATGTCGGGTTCGATAGTAGCTTAAGTGTTCCACTGTAGCGAATCCGGGCAGCCGATGGTCGATCTGCGGATTGCTGATGTTCCATCGTTTCTTCAGCCCTGGCATTGTTGATTGAGCTGTAACCTTGTTCTGAAGCAAGCTTTCTCTGCAAATCACGGTGATTGCACTGAGCATCTTCTTCCAAGTCCGGCACTATTCTCCATTTGTCGGTGCTACTTTCTTTTTGCGAAACGTCTCTGATTGGTTCTACAAGATCCCCATAATTTGTGTCAAGCACTTCGTTTTCCGTTAGAAGAAAGGCGTGGTTTTCAGAAAACTTATGGGTATTTTGCGAAGCGCCGCCTTCTTGCGTATTACCCTCTCTAACACGCGTCAACTGCGTCAGCCCCTCTTGCATGAAGAGCTCGGGCTTTTGAACTTTTTTCTGATAATGATCATTCGAGAAGTCCCCGCACTGCGTCTCTGATGTCGCTGTACCGGTATCGTCAATTTCATTCTCACAGGCACCTACGCTTTTCCAGTTTTCCTCACAAGCATTTACCGGGGCATCCGATTTGACTACCTCAGGGGACTTGTCAGGATCATTTCGTTGCCTTAAAGTTTGCACTCTCGTAAGTTCCCTATTTCTAAAGAAGAGGGAGAAAGCCGTAGCATTCATGGTTAACGCCGCGTAGATGAGCAGTGTGCCTTTGAAAGAATAGAGCTCCTGGAGCCACGACAGCACCTTGGGCAAGATGAGAGAGGCCAGCGTGTTGCCTGTGTACTTGAGTCCGCACGCCACCCCTCGATACTTCCGGAAGTGCGTCATTAGAGCAACAATCACCGAGACACTGACGATTCCGATGGCACCACCTGGAAACAAGGAAATATGCGCGGTAACGTTGCTTCACAAGTTGAGTTTTTAAAGTCGCTGGGCGCTGATATTCAGGCTGCATTGTGACTTAGGTAAATTGCAGCGGAGCGTAGAAGCGCCCAGCACGAAATTTAGCTGGGATAGTTTTTAAGTGGTGAGAATGGGCGGGTTCGGCCCGCGGTTTTTTGTACAACACACGCATGGTTGCGTTCCCAATTGCATTACACGAGGGGCAAATCGCAAGGCGAAAATCAACAGTCCACCAGAAAATTCCGTTGCGTCCAGGATCCCACCGGTGGTGTCTTACGGCTAAATATTTCTCAGGGCACACGATCGAAGCCAAACGAGGGGCTCTCATCTCTAAAGGGGAGTAGAAGGTAAAGAAAACATTCCAGGGCGCCGCTTCTACGACCGAGAACGAAACGTAAAGGATCCGCCACCATTGTGACCGACAGCCGAAAGAACTAGGCCGTCATGTACATGTACTATTGCGCTCAGTATGAACTACATCACGCGAGTGCGTGGTGGAGTGCGCTACAAGGTTGTACAGTGGCGCCAATCGTGGCATATTTTTGAATTATCGGGTGAGGAATTGGCTGTTTCTGCGATGCACATCGCCCCCATTTGCTTTCCCACTCGCCCTCATTTAGCCTTGTAGTGATATCAACTTCAGTAATGATAACTGCCACCGTGTCCTGAAAACTAAGTTTTGTACTCGACAAATTGAGCCCCGGAAACCACGCCGTATTTATCCTTGCGCTTTTTTTTGCTTGCTTCATTTCATTCGATTAAAAATAAAGACTGAAACGGCACTTTCCGTATTAGCTGAAAGTGGCTCTATAGAGAAACACTGAAATGTTCTTCAAATTGTGAAATGCCCCGAGTGCCTACACTCATAAAAAAAGTTAGTCAGAAGCTAGGAATTGCAGGCATGTAGGCAGTAACTGCAGCAGTTACTACTTTTATTCCACTGTTACTACCCTTTTGCTACATGTTTGATACCTACGTTAGTGAACAGTTACTACCTGCAACTGTTACTAACTTTTTGCGACCTCTTTACTACCTACGTTAGTTAGGATTTAGTAACTTAAACGAAAGAGGTAGTAACTGCAGCCGTTACTACCTTTCTTGCCCTGTTACTACATCTTTGCTACCCGGCTTTTGACTATCCATTCCAATATAGTGTTTGAACGCGATTCTGATAATTTGTGAGAGGAATCGTCTTGACGTGTAATCATTAGACAGAAAAATGACGCAGAAGGTATCCGCAGAACAAGAAAATACATTTTGTTTTAAATTACGCTACCAAGATATTTAAACGTCATTCTGATATTGTCGAAATGAAGAAGTACGAGTTAACGAACCATAAGAAAGTGCTACATGTGTCGTAATAGACAATCATAACAAAGTTAGTAAAAACAGCACATATTAACAATACCGGCAGATCAAAATCACCAGACGGTCACAATTAGCCTCGAGGACTGTCACAGTTAATCCACGGCGGTGTGTCTTCAAATATTATCATTGTTTTGACGCGACAAACGCCCAAAACGATTATTACCTTTCAAATGCAGATATATTTGTCGTGTGAAGCATTCAAATGCACTAATAATGAGTTCGGTACATTGCTCCGGCCACTGTAAATTACCTTGTTGTGGACATTTTATAATAAATAAATATGAGATAAATTTTTATAAGCAAGGCTGATTAAATGTCTTGTGCTAAGTCACCAAACACACGTAACCAGGTAGTATATTATAGTGCTATAGGTTTATATTTGTTAAAATTCAACATGAAACGCAAATGCTCCCCTGTGCCAGACATGCCCCTGCAAAGTAGGGGCTATATATACCCCACGCTTACTTCTTACTACATGTATACGTAAAAAATAGTGAACTTCTTTGGTCTATGCATTCTTCGCATTCATGGCGCACCCCGCTTCTTACTCGAAATTGTCTAGTTGTAAGACATTGATTAGCCAGCATTAGCAGTGGAGAAATAATATGCTAAAATGAATGAACTACGTAGTATCGGTTACTACTTTTTGAACCCTTTATAAGTTACTACCAATGGGTGGTATCGGCTAGGGTAGTAACAGTTACTAACTGCTGGTAGTAACAGCAGAGGTAGTAACTGTTGCCACCCTCGCCGTTACTAACTGCGCTTACTACCAGGGTTGTAACATATGTGACAAATCGTTACTACCCCAAAGTTAGCAAGTACTACCAACTTTTTTCTAAGAGTACAGCAGTGAGCTCCTGCGAATAGTTGAACTGTCCCAGAAGCAGTGTACTGAACGCTAAATAGCAGACATCACGTGGAGGTCAAGTAAGACCGTAAATCGCATCATCCAAGCTTATAAAAAAGAAGGCTGCATCAATGGCGGCCTCGTGCAACGACTGCTGCTCAAGACGCCGACATCCTCGATGCCGAAATCCTCGACGCCGTGAAGGCAAGCCGCTTCAACACTGCCAGAGAGGTCGGCGTGGCCGTTGCAGTGTCTGCAAGCGCGTCGACAATAAAACTGCAAATAGCGGAAGGTAGACTGTGGCTCCGAAATCGCGCCTCTCCTTGTCAAACAAGCCGGTAAGTCTTAACTTCGCAATAGAACACGTCTCAAGGACCACAGACAACTGGAAAGCAGTATATTTTTTTCGCACTACCTTTAATATATATATATATATATATATATATATATATATATATATATATATATATATATATATATATATATATATATATATATATATATATATATATAATATATATATATGTGTGTGTGTGTGTGTGTGTGTGTGTGTGTGTGTGTGCGTGTACGTTAACAACACGCTGGGACCAGAATCATCGTTTATGGCACCCTGTCAAAAGTAGCATCGCGCACGTTAAAGCTTCAGGTGCCATGTCCCTTGATATGCATGGCGTTTTGTACAGCACTTAGAGACCGCTGACATACGCAAAGTGTTGCGACATCCTCGATTACGTTACGTCATGATAGCTTACGCACTGGACGGGCCTTTTTCTGACGGGGACTTCCTGTTCAAGCAAGACCTGTCACCTGTCCACACTCCAAAGGTTGTTTAACAGTTCAACATGCGAGGGGTGCGGTGCTTCAGATAGGTCCCCAAAGGGGCATACCTCAACATAATTGAGGCCGTCTTGGGCAGAATGAAGGTCAGGCTCATCCGCCAATGAGTTATGTACCGCTGTCGAAGAAGAAGGAAAGTGCGTGCAAAATGAACGCAGTTTTATTGATGATCTGCAGGCACCACTATCGTCTATAATGCCGAATGCGATTGCCGTGGAAGCCGCCATGACCCGCTACTAAAGCGTGGCGACCGCTTCATTACTTTTCGTGTCATTTCCCTCGAGTTCTTGCGTTTTAATATTATGAGTGCCGACGCGCCATCGGTTCAGCAGCAAAGGGGGAGCATTGAGTCCGCTGCCAGTCGCCATCGACGAAGTCAGCAGAAGGAATTGCAGATATTTCATTTAGTTGCTTCCGAGTTTATTCATCTTAGTCCAAGATCTTTATATTTCATTTTTGTGTACAATTTTCTCTTTTCAAATGCGTTTTGAATGAAGTCAGCGCGAATTATCCGCATGGTTGTTTATATAGATATTTCGACTATGGCTTGTTCACTAGGTTATTTGCTTTGTATTATAGTGAAAGAATAATCGAAGTATTTTCCTTTTCCTAACTTCTTCGACTGCGAGAAATTGACTTTTTTGCCATTACAAGCTACAAATTTTGAATATTACACAGAATAAAAAGGCAACAAAAATTAGCACTGGTTTTCCTTTTTCCCCTAAATAGCAGTAACTTTGTTTTAAATTCTAAGAATGTTTTGTTCTCCTTCGATGACCTCACAGTTATTTTGGAAAGCCAGGTATGTTCATTGTTCAAGAACGCTGCACACGACCTCACGTTGACGTATTCACGAAAAGCGCTTCCTGCCTACCCCTTCCCTTGGCGAACTGACGGGAGAGTGGTATATGTTCGTAACTAGGGTAGATAGTGGGCGATCAAGTCGCTGTATTGTGCTCAAATGTTTCTTCAAGAAAGACATATACGATAAAAAACACTGGCAAAATGTTCTTCCAAATAAAGAAGAGGGGGATTAAAGCAGGGATACGGGGGATGATGAGTATTCGCAAGATCAGCCAAGCTTTCTCCCGATAACTCGAAAACATGTCACGATCGTGGCTGCTGTACTACCAGGCAGTGCGCATGGCCACGAGCTTGCGTGGTCATACTGAGCGCGACAGTACGTGGAACTGCTTGTGTACTAGAATGAAGCGCAACTTGGGGTTCGTGGGCGACACAAAAGAGGAACCTTATTTTTAATGGTAAGAAGATGGTAGAAGACCAAGCGTGCAAATCTGAAACCTATCTCTACATTTTCAAAGTGTAGATTATGTTCAGAACATAGCTTTCTTTTTCAACAGTGAAGCTGGTTAACCTAACTCTAAATTGTTTCGCCTGTCGGAAAAGTACCGTCATAAACGAGTATGGGCCGCATAAACTGGTTAAATCACACCACTCACAACGCGCACAAAATATGGAGAAGGCGACCGTGAGACCTATGTCTGCGAAGTGATGGCGAGGAGTTGTAGATCACGAGTAAGTGGATCACTCGGGAACTGAATGGCAATGGCGGCAGTGACAAGGCGCCAAAGCAATAGAAGGCCTTTATACTCTAACCACGACGTGCTCGTAGGTCTGAGAGGTGCGATTTCAGTGCGAGGTTCTGTACGTTGAGTTTGTACATATCAGTTTAGTTTCTGTGACTTTCTGTAGTTTTACAGAAACTTCTCAGCGCCGAGAATAAACGTAAAAAAACCTAGAATGAGAAAAATCTAGAAACAAATTAGAAAGAGCCTGAACCACACTGTTAAGTCTAGGAAAAACCAATAAGAAATAAGATTAGCCTTCAGAACCACACAGTTTCCTTATTTCAAACCTTGTGTAGCTTGACGCTGATGTCACCTCTCTTTTACAAAGGGCACAGACTGGCTTCTATGACCCGCACTGCACGTTTTGTTGTGATATATAGGTAAGTATCTTACATGGCTACCTCAGATTTGAAACTTTGAGTAATGAAACGCGGTAGAGAAAGGTTTTATGAACGGTTGTCATAACCCATTTACGTGGTTTAAATGGGAGAGCTCTGTGTACTGCCCAAAGGACTGGTCCTTGACTGCCCCTAAGGATGGGCGCTACCACCAACTTTAGCTGAAAGCTGTTGCGCAGCTCCTAGCCTTCGCTGTCCTACTTACCGAACATGAGGCGTGGCGCTGGCGTTTTCGTAATAGCCTTCTGACACCCATATACGGGAGGGTTTCAGATGACACAATATGACGGTAATAACTCTTTTTTCCTTTTTTAGTCCTATGTTTTGAACAAATACGTACCCCAATCAGAGCTCTCTACACGCTATTTATAGCAGTCAAAAGTTGGACGAAAGTTAGTCGGGTCAGCTATCATGATGAAGATGTAGATGCGGTCACTGACCAAGCCAAGGTGAAAAAACAAAGAGACGTTTCGGGACCCGTAAGAGTTCCTTGTTCACGCGGTATTTGTGTCGTGGCTCAAAAGAAGCCTGCCCCGCATGCGGGGATGTATCCACGTTAGTACACATGCTCCTGTATTGCGAGGCAGCGTACACAAACCCCGCTATCGCTTCGTCAAGGTGGGAGGTGGGCCCCCCGCAGCTCTTTTCCGGCCGACCGATATGGGCCGTTCAGCAGGATCGCGCAGGACCGCGAGGCTTGGCCTTACAATCTCTACGTTGGAGTCGCCCGCCGTGCGCTTACGCTCCAGATTAGTGTGGAGTGGTAGTGCACAGGGGACATCAGTAAATATCGCACCTACCAACCAAGCTATGCTTTGGCGTGCTACAGTAGCTAACGAATTATAAAGCATGTGCAGGGAGAATCATCTAATCGTATACATCTGGTAATAAACTAACCCATAATTGAACTCAAGGCATAGCTATAAAATGTTACGTTTGAGCAGATTATGTGGAGGCACACTTTAGGACGAAACGATGCATGCAACTGGGAAGCGGCGTGTTTCGGTTACCGCAAACACCATCGATGTACGCAGCCCAGTCTGGCAACTTTCTTGAGCACTTAAGGTGCGCAAGTATTGAACATAAGTCCTTCCATGGCAACTGTACGTGTCAGTCTCGTTTAATTCATGCTGTCAAAAGTGGCCAGATCACGACGCTACGAAATGACTGAGTTTACGCCACCAGATCCATTACGTTTCGGTAATAATGTCGTGAACCGGATTCGCTTCAAGCAGCGGGTCGAGCTGTACTTCACTGCGACAGAATCCTCGGAACTTGGAAAGCACCGCAGCTCCACCCAGAAAGTCGCCGACTTGCTTTAGCTCGTGGGCCAAGAGGCGATCAACGTTTACAACACTTTCGACCTCACTGGGGAAGAAAAGCAGTACACCAACAAGTTAGTTCAAGCATTCGAAGCACACTGCTTACCCCACACCAACAAAGCATTCGAGCGCTACGTGTTGCGGAGCCGCACGTAGACCAAAGGTGAGCTTTTCGAACAGTTCTATCAGGATTTACAACTGAAATCGCAGAACTGCAACTTTGAGAACCTCCGGGAATCGATGCTGCGTGATCAAATAGTGTATGGCGCATCTAGTAAAGCGTTAAGAGAAAAGCTTCTAGCCAAAACGGGCTTGACGCTCAGCACAGCTGTTGAGTGGGCAAAAGCTGAGGAAATCGCTGCCGCGCAAACGAAAGCGTGGAGTGAAAGCAAGAGCGTGGACGCAGTGACGTAAGAAAAAAAGGAAGCACCAGAAACACATGAATGACTTGCATGAAGGGCGCACCAAAGAGCGACATCAAGGAAAGAAATGCGGCTACTGCGACCGCTCGCATAGACCTGGCGAGTGTCCAGCATACGGGAAATATTGTGCTTGATGCCGGAAGCAGAGTCATTTCGCAATTAGCGGCAAAGCAAGAGCAACGCATGCGAACGACGTCGCCGAGTGGGATGACGACGACGATGAGGGCGTCTTGACAAGGCTGCACATATCTACGGCATGTAAGAAAGCGAACACGGCTGATCGACGCGACTGGGAGGTTGCAACTCATATTTCAAGGCTAGAAGTGCGGCTGAAAGTCAACAGCGGCACGCAGGCCAACCAGCTGCCGCGCCGTGGGTTTGACGCCCTGAGAACAGTGTCAGCCGCAGAGCGCCCGAGCAGTACTGCGTAGCTACCGCGAAGATGAAATAGCGTACATGGGGAAGATATTACTCCCATTTCAGATTAGAGAAGGCACCAGGATAGTTGAGTTTTTTTGTTGTGAAGAAAGGTCGGCAGGCGATCTTAGGACTACGCCTGCGTGCAGTTTGGTCACGTGAACAGATTTCGAGTCGTCAACAAGGATGACTTATCGGTCTGCATTCGCAGAAAGTATCCGGAATTGTTTGCGGGTGTCGGACTACTAAAGCGAGAATACAGCATGGCGCTCCAAAATGGCGGCCTCCCAATCATCGAGCCGGCGCGACGAGTACCTCACGCAGTTTGACCGTGGTTGAAAGAGGAGTTTGATCGCTTAGAGGCAGCGGGGATCATAGCCAGGATGCGTGAGCCTTCTAACTGAGTAAGCCCACTTGTTATTGCTAGAAAGAGTTGACACGCTGGGTGGCGTACACCGATGGTCTTGGCGGTAACCGATACACGGGCTAGCAGCTTTGTTTTGCGTATGCTTTGTATTATAGGTAAATTATAGTTCCAGCTAAAAAGTTCTCCTGCTGGCCCAAGTCTCAGTTCTAATATGTGTAACACTGACCATGCTCATGCTGCTAAGCTGCGGTGCTAGAAGTGTTCGAATTGTTTTACGAGTATGCAATGAACTAGAATTTCGAAGCTTGCTTCCAGGTGGCTGCGTGTCATTGAAGAAGCTATAATTCAAGCTCGTGAATCAAGAATATTTATCAAGCGCTGTTAAAGCATCGGGCTATTGCGATGAGAACGAAAGGCTTCATTGAAGCATGAAGTCATTGCGTTTCTAGTCTTCCTTTCGCGAACACTGCTTCCTAACATACACTGTTATAACGACCACAACGTCCGCGAGGTCAGGCTGAAAATAATATGCAATAATAAATACTGAGGTGTGTTTACATTACCTTACCATGTAAAAATCCGAACGTCAAAGTGGTCCAGGCTATGCTTGGAGCGAACACTGCGGCTAGTAGTCCCAGCCAGAGCAGTATGCTTCCGAAAAAGGCAATGTAAAATATCGGGACGATCGGCTGAATAACGGCCACGAGGATGCCTGTAAGTATAATTAAGTTTATTTTTAAGAAACATTGCAATTCACCATCATTCCAGTGGCATTCAGCTAAATATACTTCGGAAGCTTCACGTAGGAAAATTATAGTCTTCGTTTACATAATAACAACATGTAAGTTTAGATTGCTTTGGAGTCGGCTCTTTAAAAATCACGAAGTTCATGTTTAATTAGCAAGGAAAGAACGAATGAATCAACTTTGTTTATTATTACGGCAGTATTCTTCGGGCGAGGAGAGGCAGGGTAGAGAGGCTAATGCCCGTACCAACGCACCCTCCAGCAATAATGATGGTGGGGCGAAAAGCGAACCTCTTTGGTTTTCGTTTACAACCGTGGCATTTGAATTGTATGTTACTCTCCACTACTTCAACCAGCCGTGAGACAAGTACTGGACTAACAGCCGTGCGCTATGGGTAGGCGGGCGCAAAGTGGTGCACATAGCAGGCACAACGTCACTTATGCACGCCCCTAAGACTACTCGAATGTGATAGCTAATGGGTGTGGCTAATTTAGTATTAATTGTCACCATCGTTGTTTTCGAAGCCACGTCAGTAGCTTCAAGCTTTCATGATGCTGTAGCTGCTACCGCTGCTCATGGTGAATTATGACTTTACCTTTTGCAATGAGTACGAAGCACCATCCATACACTTCCTTGTCCAGCAGTGTGTCGTTTTACTTGTTTTCGCTCGTCAGTGTGTTTGAATAGAAATCTCCCCCGATTTGCAACCGACTGCAAAAGGCAACCTCTCGAGCTTCAATCCACCCTGTTGATGCGCGATTCACGTGGTCTGATGCCGGATATGATTTGAACTACCTCCGCGAGACGTTATATATTTCTCACAATTTCTTGTGATATATTTTCCCTAAAAAGTGTATTTCGCCTAAGTAGTTGCAGTGGTGTGCCTTTGGGGTGTACTATTTGACTGCCACGTACAATTCGAAAGTTCAGTTCCACCTTGCATCCTGCATTTCATCTGATTTTGTTTGAACCTATAATGGTAGCCTACTTTTTTAACCAGGTGCTGTGGTATGCAAGGCAAGTGATAAGTGTCCTAAGAGGCACTTGAGCATTTTGCCTTAATAAGGAAAGAAAAGTAATAATAAAGAAGAACGTGTACACACGCTATTATCATGTTCAAATGCCTTTGGCGGAAGAGGCCGAAATGTATAGTGCTGTCACCCATATTATCTATATGGTGCCCAGAGAAGAATTTGTCACGCACTTAAGATAGAGAGTCGCCTCGAGATATAACCGATGACATTACTCCGACTGCATTACGGTTGCAGTTAAGCATGTACGCAAGTCTGAGGATGGAGAATTTGAAAGTATCGTCAAATATCGCTGACCGCGATGTCAATTGGAGACGCCCATTGAAAACGCCAATTCATTTTCTTCCACCTAGCACAGATATCAAGAGTGCTTTCCACAAGAACACTTGTTGCAACAAATAATGATTTTGGCATGACTTGAAACAATGACGAAAATAGGGAAGACCTTTTCTTTGACATGTCAAAAGCATTGCGCGGTGTGCTACACGCAAAATGGTTTGAAACAGACAGAGATCGGAACCAACACGGCAAAGGTAGCGTTTGATCCCACATCCGCCGTAGGAGTCGAAATAACGCGAAAGTAATATGTGTCCTTACAGAAATTGTTGAATGTTTATTACTGCACATGGGTATAAAACCTTGCAAAATATGATTGGTGTTTGGTACTAATAGCACCGTTTAAAGTAGACGCACTCACGTTGAGGTTACCCTGCGCAGGGTAACCATTGTCAATTCATTGAATTTCGCCAAATTACGAACAAAAAGTTGCCAGAAGGGCACCATTCTTCTTCAAGTTTCGCCAAAAACGTCAACACTCAGCATATGTGCGACGAACCTGGTAATAAACTGCTAATTATGAATTGCTCTTTAGAGTACAGTGTCGTTCATAACCCATGAACTGTATTGACTTTTTCCAATGCCAGTCGACAGTTCATCATGAGAGGGCTACTGGGCTTGGAATGCTGTCACCCTCTTCACCACGGGGGCACTGAGAAGGGGCATGCACGCACCAACAGCGTCTCTAAAGTCTAGCGCCTCATTACAACAGGTTGTTATGGTTTTAGTTGTATAGAATACAGAGCGAAACAGTCACTAAAGCAAGAGAGAGACGGCGTAGGTAGCCTTCCTGCAGGTTTTAGAGAATCTTAATGAAGTGGAACAGTGTGTCCAACAATCGAACTTATTCATAAAATAACAGAAATCAATTTGGTAGAACTGCGTAACATTGGCAATTCTCGCACCCCTCTTTATTTGCAATTACGCGTACGGTACACATTTGCCTTATTGCAGTTTGTGAAGGCTGCCCGGAAAAATCGACTCCTGGGCCAGCCAAAAAAGTATGTTAACAAATTTAAACTCTACATAACAAATCAGGGAGTACTACCGCATGCAGTGAATAAGTCGACAAGCTATGGAGGACAGTTGGAGCTCTGGTCAGAACATGCGCGGCCTAACCTTAAACTAGCCACTTGAGAAGTGAAACTTTAAAGAAGCTTAAATTTTTTGACTCACCTACAAAACTTGAACCACCACTTCGCGACACGCGAAGCACTCTGTTCAAGTACATTTTGCTTGGATGTTGCTGGTAGAAGCACCAGTACGCCAGTGCTTCAACGATATAGGTGAATTGAGATACACGACAGACTTACAGGATTGCGCAGAAAGTGAGCCTTCTACTGCATGGAGGGTCTAAAATATGCAAAATGTGGAAAGTTGTTGTTGTACATTCGTTTCGAAGACACTGAGTGTAGAATATCTAACACTGTCGAGAGATAGGCCGAAAATCGCCAAAAACTTGCCAGATCACCATTCATAATTTTAGGTCACCACGGGCCTGTTAATTCACCAGTTTGGTGAAAAGTCGCCATAGGTGGCAACCTTGGCTTGGCGGTATGTCTCCATCTCAAAGATTAACGTCCACAATAAGCGATTAAACTAACTCTTGAGGTAGCAGTTCTAGTCCATCCTGAAAGCGTGATGTGGCTGCCACACCGTCCATCCTGACGGTGTGACAGCGAGTAGAATGTCGATGGCTCGATGCAGAAATTGGTGTATGGTCACCATCTCGGCATGTTAAAGAGCTATTCAACACCACTTCTCCACTCAGAAAATTTGGTGCAAACTCATGACGTCCCTGAATTTAGGCCGTGATTTTTTATTTTGTTGAATAAAATTGTGGAAGTTAGCGCATTTTGTTGGCGTCCCTCTCATGTCCCTATTTGTTAGCGCTCAATATGTCATCAAGTTACGTTTACCAACATGCCCGAAAGATGGCATTGCTAAAGTTCATTTCTAGTACATCGGGCTCCTTTCTGTATTCTTCATACGAATCTTGTTCCGTTGCTCCCCTCTTCATTCATGCCAACTGTCGAGCTCATTCGCTTTCCTTCTTCATTCGCTGCAAGCATCTATCCGACGGAGTCGCGTGGTTGTTTGGTGGACTTGCCCCCTTCAGCCGGGCATCGCATCAGAGTCCTCAAGATTCTTAGGAGTGAGTAGCAAACGGAGGCTTGGATGTTAAGGGACTCGCTGAGGATCTCCTTGGAAGATCCAGGAAGGATACGAAACGTTAACGGAGAGTGTAAAAACTTCCTAGTGATTGCCATCAGCAGCAAGGAATTCATGTGGCAGCAGACTCTGCCAGGCTTACGTGCCAGCATCCCGAACAAGACAGGTCCAACGACATGCAGCGTCAGAACCACCAGCCAGGTTAGTATACGAGGCTACGTTGAAAATGTTGACCTAAGTTCGCCGTCGAGCCAAGGTGGAGTGCGCCAAAACTTTTGAGCCTTGTGCGACAAATGTCAAAGTGTGCCCTGGAAGGTTAAGCGTATCATTGTATATAGGAAGTGGTAGAAGTGATCTCGCGAAAAAATACCGATGCCTCACCTGTGCCTGTAAGCTGTGTAGCGTCTTTCTTGAAGCAGAAGCAACTGTGCCTTCTGACAGCGTATAAGAAGGGCGGACGTGTTGTCCTAGGCGAAGGTGACTACAAGGAGAAAGCCTGTTCTGCAGTTGCCAATGTTTTTAATGAGTGTATCAATGTGTCCCTTAGAAATATAAAATGAGAAACAAAACTTATTTGTAGAAAGGTGGGCTTGAGTATATTGTTCTATGATACTTACGCAGTCAAGAAGAGTAGCCTTAAAAATATTTTTAGCGCAAAAACGCACAAGCCCGAATGGCCTTTGAGGGTAATTGTATCAAAAATAGGGCCAAGGCAGAAGAATATAGCTGTTTTCTTTTGTTTTTCAAGAAAAGCTTGGCAATACTAAATTTACGACCCTGTTGTGATTAGGCATTCCGTAGAAGTTCTAGATTTCCTGAAGAGTACCGCAGATAAATGCTTGTTGGCCTACTCTTTTGACATAACGAACTTGCATTATTCCTTCCTTCAAAGTGAACTAATGATGTGCGCAGAAGAATGCATTGATGACTTTGGCGTGGTTCGTTTCAGATCTCAGCCGGGATATTTGTTCCATGCTTTTTAGATTAGCTTCGCTGGCATCTGCGCGCGACATTTGCCACGTGGAATGGGAAAACTTTTCTTCAGAAGCTGGGCGTCTTTATCGGCTTCTGTTTGGCGCCGGTATTGAGTGACATTTTTTCTTACTCACCTTAACAGAAACCTGGTACATGTCTGGTCAGAGCACAGAGTGGCCAAATGTCTAAGATACATGAACGATTACGTTGTCCTGTTCGAGCTGGAAGTACACGTAACAGTAGAATAACTAAAAAATTGTTTTTCCCCTTGCCTTAGCCCCCTACTAAAACAGTGAAAGAGCCGCCCCATAACGTGCTGTGGTTTTTAGACATTGAGCTTGAATACATAAAGCAGCACACGTGTTGCGAATACAAACCTTGAGCTAATAAGCCTTGTTTGCCATACCAATCTGCTCACTCGAAGCTAGTTAAAACAAGCATTGCCAATCTGTTTTGGAAGCGCATTGTGGAAGTCCAGCCACCTTAGAATCCTTATGAGCCAGTCCGAGAGGTTATTTGAAGCAGGTTTCTCAGAGTCCGTAAAGGTGTCGGTTATCGAGGGTTTTCTTAAAATATGACGTTTGAACAGTGGCCCTTGGGAAGCGGCCATCCAACAGACGGGAAGCAGGAGCAGAGTGGCAGTACTGCCTTATCTGCCCGAAACAGCTCATAATGTGAAGAAAATAGCTAGTCAAAGAGACATCAAAGTAGTGTTTCCTGCACCACAAAAGCTTCGCAGGATAAGTCGCTTGAGGGACCCGCATCGCAGGCCTGCTGTCGGGTGCTCCAAGAACCGTCGCGACCCTTTTGTGGATTGTGTACAAGGGGTAGTTTATGAGCTTCCGCTCACATGTGATAATAAATGTATAGGTCAGATGGGTAGAGGCTTTAAAGATCGTCTTCGCGAACACAAGATAAGCCCCGCCACGGTGGTCTAGTGGCTAAGGTTTTCGGGTGCAGATCTGAAGGTCGTGGGATCAAATCCCGGCTGTGGCGGCTGCATTTTTGATGGAGGCGGAAATGTTGTGGGCCCGTGTACTTAGATTCAGGTGCATGTTAAACAACCCCAGGTGGTCGAAATTTTACGGCGTCTCTCTTACTCATATGGTGGTTTCGGGACATTAAATCCTACAAATCAACGCAAGGTTAGTGTTAAAAACAAGAATAGCTACGGCCAGTTGTTTTTTCTTTTCATTGCTTGGAATGCGGTTAAGCACCTGCGTACAAATCTGGCATTGTGCTGGCGAAACATAAAAATGTTCGAGAGACGATTGAAGCCGATGTTATATTTCTCAATAGTGTGACACGCGTGTGAGTGCCCCATCAGTAGACCTTTTAGATCGGGAGAGGTCTTTTCTGCTTGGCTAGTGGATAGACGGGTGGCGCCACTGTGCATGGATATATCAGTGAGCATTTCATGAAAATAAAATTGTCGATGTTTGCTCATTGTGTTGCCGTCCCTCTGACGTCCCTGTCTGTTAGCGGTGAATATGTCGTCGAGTTCATTAAAATTAAAAGTAAAAATAAAAACAACCGTGGCAATATGCACGAAATTGTTGCGTATTATCATTTTCCGATTGTCTTTGAGCTCGTTAGTTAACATTGCAATGATAAGTTTGTAATATTTGATCGATGCATCAACTTTAGTGGTCCACTGTTAAAGGAAACAAGTTCGAACACAACGTGCTCAAGTCTCACTCTCTTGCAATGGCTTCGATTCAAATGAGACGACCAGTTGTGCGCAGTTCTGGCTCCTTGTGACAGACTAGTGCCATGAATAAACATTGTTATCGTATCCACTTGTACTGGAGGGCTTGAAATAATAACGGTGCTCATTGTAATGCTCCCTTTAACAGTGGACGCTAGTGTACATAGTAGTATGGTGGTGGCTACCGACCCAAAGGTCACGCGTCCAATCCCAGTTGCTGAGATCGCGTTTTAGTGGAGGCGAAATGATAAAGGACCGTGTACGAAGAAATCTCAGTGCATGGCAAAGAACGCCGGGTCGTCAAAATTTACGTAGCCCTCCACCATGGGTTCCCCTGTCTTTAGCGAACTTCAGCGACTTCAATCGTATCCATCCATCCATCCATCCATCCATCCATAGATCCATCCATTCATCCATCCATCCATCCATCCATCCATCCATCCATCCATCCATCCATCCATCCATCCATCCATCCATCCATCCATCCATCCATCCATCCATCCATCCATCCATCCATCCATCCATCCATCCATCCATCCATTCATCCACCTATCCGTCCATCCATCCATCCATCTGTCCGCCCATCCATCCATCTGTCCGCCAATCCATCCGTCCATCCGTCCATCCATTCATCAATTCATCTAGCCACCTACAACTTTTAGCGCTCCTGGCCGTTTCGATATTGAGATCTATGCCACAGTTGGCATGGCATGACATGGCTGTATGACGTGCAAAAGTGACTAATCATAACATGAAAATCATGAAAAGTATGTCATGAATGTTATAATTTACATGTCATGGTCCTGCTGTTGCGGTGCTTTCTCACGTGGCATATTGCGCAACTGGTATGGTATAACATGATTGCATGGCGAACATAAGTGACAGACCCTAGCGTGGAAATCATGACATGCATGTCATGTGAGTCAAGAGTACACGCCACAATCAAGGTGCGCTAGCTTCACATAGACCAAATTTGGTATTACGGGGCTTGAATGAATGAAGAAGCTATATGACTGGTGCAATCCTGAGAATCATGGCATGCGTGTCATTTAAGAACATGACTACATGCCACACTCATGACACACTCCCGATCATTTAGCTAGCTTCACGTATACGAATTTTGATGTTACTTGATGTGAATCGTTGGCGATGTTCATCGGTGATGACCATGAAGGTCATTGGGCTGGTGAAAAAAACAATATTCAAGACGTGATGGTCATATAAGAACATAACTACATACCACGTTCGAGATGCACTCGCAGCCGTTTCGCTAGCTTCACATGTACAAAATTTAGTATTACGTGACGTGAACAGACATTGAAAGTAAATGACATGTTCAAACTTGATAATCTAGGTATGCGTGTCAAGTACAACATGACTACATGCTAGCCTCCTAGCGTGCTCGCGGCTGTTTCGCTAGCTTCACGTATGCCAAATATGGTTTGACGTGACGTGAATTGGCGATGAAGATAAATGTCGCGATGAAACATGATAATCATGGCATACGTGTTATGTAAGACATGACAAAATGCTATGCTCATAGCGCTCTTGCAACCGTTTTGCTAGCTTCACGTATACAACATTTGGTATTACGTGACAGGAATGGGCTGCGAACACAAATGTCGGGTGCAATCGTTCCTGGTATTGCAAACGTTAGTGGTGCCATCGTTGCGTGACTGCAAGATAACATACTTGCACCTTATTTAGATACGCGATTGCATGTAACGTTTCTACTTGTGTTTACTGTTTAGTACGTCCGCCCGCCATGTAGCGTTGTACTGATTTTGAAGTGACATGTCCACCTTCCTCATTCGTGCAGTGCATATCCGCGATTCTCAGTGTACGTGGGATCTGCCAATTTTTTGGACGCAAAAACCTCATTACTATTACGTACGTAGCATTTTTTTAGGTACGGGTATCTCTTGTTGTTTGCGTATGTCTTGTAACCTTGCTCACGAACGTTTCAATTAAGTCTTCGCAACACTAATGCGCATTTTACCATATTTTGCTTCTAAGTGTACGCTAGAAATCTCCAGGTACGTACCATAAGAAATCAGTGCTTAAAGTTTCATGTGCTGGTGCAATACAAAATGTCTTAAACAGGACGAAAGACGGGGAAACACAAAGAAGTAAACAGTATGCGCAATCCTGCTTATTTCTTCATTTTATACCATTGTTAATCGCGCGTACGGTTAGGTATGTACAACAGCTCCCGAGTTTTACAGCGCAACCAAGTGGATTTCATGATCCACCAGGAAAGGTTCGTGGGTATGGCAGCAACGTACCTGAGACGTGTCCCATAATTTGGAGGACGCTACCCGGCCAAGAGGCCTGTTTCCGTGTCGTCTGAAATTCCTCGAGAAAGTAAACGTAGAAGAAGCCCAGGTTAGAAGAGGACGCCACGGTGAAGAAAGCGATGAACGTGGCCGCAACGGCAATGCGCCACTGGGTGTCGACGCCTGCGGCGGGCCTCGCTACTAGGGAAGCACCGGTGCCTTCTTGCACTGCATTGCGCACTGACGGTGCACCAGCCCTGGATATCGCGGGAGCTGCCATTGTGCAGCTCCTGGTACGCCTGAAAAGAAACGAAATGACGTTGCATACACCTGCATGTCTAAATGCACAGCTACGTTTCGCACAGCTAAAAAAAAACCACGAAAAATTGCGCTTCCCTTCTCCTCGAAGGGAATTGTGAGTAAACGTGAATGCGTTTCTTGCGCATAGAGTACACGGCGTAATAATTTTAATGGCGTAAATTATCGACGAGACGGGGATTTTTACTACCACCATTTATATACACATTCATCAGCCAGCGAACCGTCGAGAGGGAGGCGCGCGCTTTACTCCATTTATATACATGTACGATTTTGTGGACGGGAGAGTGGGGCCCAGGGAAGAGAGGGAGCGAACGGTGAGAGAAAAAGCGGCAAAGCACTGCACCTGGACTCTCCTACACGCTTTCCACACACGTGGGAGCTGCGCCGAGGATGAATGGATGGATGAATGGATCGATCTGGCTGCGCCCTTTAGATCGGGTGGTTGCTCATGACAACTAGCCATAAAGTTAAATTCTATCACTATGTGTTGAAGGATTGAATTTCGCTCGCGCCTTGATTGTTGCCACCAATCAGTTAACGTACCCTTGGTTATTTTCACCCCTTTAAAGTATATTTAGCCTTCTGTGTCTCTAAACTCCAATGCTTTGAAAAATTCCACGCCATTGTCTTCGACCTGATGGCGGAGCCCTTTAGAGAACATTATCAAATGTTCAGCCGTTTCTTCCTCCTCTCAACACGTACTACATATTGTTTCTGTGCCTTCGTATTTGGCTAGGTACGTCTTAATTCGCGATACTCCTGTTCTCGCCTTGAACAGCAGAAAACTGCTCCAAGAATTATCGTAGATATTTTTTTTGCAATTTCCTGATTGAAAGTTCGGTAAGTCTCCAGTGATGATTTTGTGAGCATTCCCATTTTCCACATGTCCCTCTCTGTTTCCTTCATCTTCTTCCGATGTTTCCAATGTTTTCTTTTGGTTTGGTATTCTGCTGCTGTCTAAATACTTGGTTGACAATTTTCGAGTTCGTTTTCTCCATTTAGTATCAGCATTCTTCATATACAAGTAGGTGAAAGCTTTCATAGTCCAATGCTCCTCTCCCATTTTTCTCAATCGCCCCTCAAATTCTATCTTGCTGCTAGCTTCCCTGCACTCAAACGATATTCATCCCATGTCACCCTGTATCCCCTGATTTGGGGTATTCCCGTGTGCTCCCAAGGCAAGTCTACCTATACCAGGTTGCTTAACTTCCAATAGTGCTTGAACGTCTGATTTCATGCACAAGACCGCATTGCCGCACCCGCAGCAGTTGGTATGGCAGCGGGAGCGAAAACAGGCATAACTCCTGCACGCCACCGGACGCCTAACATAACCCGACTTAGAAATGCATTTTATTTTAAAAAAATCAGAGGTAACACACACGAGACACAAAAAAGAACCCTATTGGGCGATATTTATTGGCACAAAAGTTCTGGTGCAATTTTTCGATCAGAAAAAAGAATTCAGTTTACAAAGTATTCGATGATCATATCAACAAAAACTTTTTGGGTGCTCTCTCTGTCACCCTATCTCAAAATGAAATCGAACTTTTGAAAGAAATCATTTCATCGCATTCTAAAATACCCACATATTTCGCTGTCATTGGTTGACACCCTGATACGCTTTATTTTTACTCATTTGTATGGAGAAATGATTTTACTACTGAAATTTTTCCTTGTTCGTGTTCCTTCTCTGTTTTAAATAAATCTTCGCAGGCTCGAAATTATACAGTTGTCAGTGCACGCATCACCGCGCGTTGCTTCGCGTTTGTTTCGCCCGTGTCGTACCTAGCACAGCATGAGAACACGAAAAAGTACCACCTACATGCCGTTTCAGCCCTATCGACGTTGTATATTTGTCTCATAGTAGGGATGCTGGACACCATTGCCACCGCTGACAAGTAAGCATGCGCCAAATGCACCATTTCAGTTAGCGAGTGTTTTCAGAACAGAACAGAACAGACGGTTTTATTGTGCTAAATGATGAAGCATACATGTGCATGATATATAGAAAGAGGTCCCATAGTCAGAGACTGCAAGGGGCCTCTTGTACAATGTAGAATTGAGAATAATTGTGATGTACATAGCAGGGAGACGGAGCTACAGTAAAATGAAATTGAAACAAATAAAGTAAGAATATACCCTTGTAATCTCACAGAAACAATTTAAAAGTAAGAATTACGCGCTAACTTCAATGACAAGTGATTACAGAACGCAACTCACAATGAACAGGAATCAATTAAGAAACAGCAAAACAAGCTAGTTAGTTGACATGATATGATTTTTTAACTTCAAATAAATTACCTTCAGGGAACGGCATACTTTAATGTCGGAAGGTAAACTTTTCCAAAAAGAAATTCCGAAAAAATGAATGGTTTGTTTGCCATAATTGGTGCGAACTTTTGGCAGTAGAAAGTTATTGTTAAGGGTAAACCTTGTGACATTGTTATTTGAGAGAATGGTAGTAAAATGTGGAAGTTGGTTATTTATAGTTTTATACATGTAAATACCAAGGTTATATTTACCTAGCTCAGATACAGTTAACATATTGTTTTCGTGAAGTAGTGACTTAGCGTTAGAGAGATATGGGCTTGACGTGAGATTTCTTATCGCTTGGTTTTGAATTGTCTGAACTGAAGAAAGATGAGTGGTGTATGTGTTACCCCATGAAGTAATACAGTAAGAAATGTGCGAATGAACAAAAGAAAAATAGAGTGACATAAGTATTGATGGATTGAAATGAAGACGAGATATAATCAGTAGTCGAATGCCATACGTCATTTTTTTCCTAATATATGCAACATGCCGGTGGTATTTCAAGTTACTGTCGAGTTCAACGCCCAGGAATTTACAGCAGTCGCTCACAGGGATGTCATTGCGCGCAATTATAACAGGAGGGATAGAAGGTAAGAATTTTTTGTGGTGAAGAGAAGACAAGAAATTTTGTCTTAGACGTGTTAATTTCTAACATGATATTACTGCACCATAGAACGAGTTGTGCCAGATCAAAGTTTAGTTTTCCAGGTAAGGATGTAATGCTGCTATCGGAGTCAAAAATTGTAGTGTCGTCGGCGTATAATATACAACTGGATGAAGAAAGGCATTTCGGCAAATCGTTAATATAGAGTAAAAACAAAAGGGGCCCCAGAATGGACCCCTGGGGTACACCAATATTAGTTAATTTGGTTGACGAATATGCATTAAAAATTACCACGTTCTGTAACCTGTTGCAGAGATAGCTACGCAATAATAGTAATGTTGGGCCAGTTATACCAAATGCTTCAACTTTATTGAAAAGAATGTGATGATTGATCGAATCAAAAGCTTTAGTTAGGTCGATGAAAACGCTGCCCGCATAGTAACCGTTGTCAATAGCCTTTTTTAATTGGTCAGTAAGTGAGATTAGCGCAAGGTCACTGGAGTAGCCGGAACGGAAGCCAAATTGACAAGGCAATAGTATATTAAATTTGTTCAGGTAATTTGTGAGACGTGTACAGATCAATTTTTCAATTACTTTGCTCAAAAAGGCAGAATAACGAAAGCATTTTTTCATTACACTGCCGACGTTTACAAAAGTCATTTTCTGGGTGGAAAGAACTAAATCCCACATGAACTTAGGTGATAGTGATGCTAGTGCAGCTATAAAAGTGAATAACAGCACACCCCCACGAATACGACACTTTGTTTCGTGCATGGCCTCAACTATGATTACGTTGAAGACAGGACTATATGTGTGAGCTTCGCGGTGGGCCAGTAGGGTGCCACTATTGTCATGGTCAGTAAGGTGATATATAAGAGACATTGGTTCATGCCAGAGTTTCATCTTATGCTCTAATTTCAGGAATCGCCGAGAAGAATGCAGACCTAGACTGGTTAACGGCTTGAGGAGCAACTTGCAAACGTTTTATTTCATACATAGTTCACATAAATGTCCAGTCCTAGACACATGCTACTGAGGAAGGTATTGCTTTGTAGATATGACAAGTGCCTTGTACTTAATACTTAAGTGTACAATGCATGAAAAAAGTGAAGTAGTTGCAAGTGGCTCATTGTCATGCTAGTTATCCGTTCGTCCTTTAGAGTGTGGTTCTTTCAATCAGCAGCACATGATCAAAACGTTGTCGTAGTGTGCGTAGTTTCCGTGCTTCACTTATGTGTGATGTCATCAGCAAAGGCCAGATTTATAGGCACTAAATATTGGTAATAGGCTGGCAAAACAAAAGTTTAGACCCCCGAAACCGTACATATAAAAAGTACAGCTTGTAACAAAAAATTCAAATTTTCTAAGAAAACGTGCAGAACCTGTGTCTAAGACACAGAAACAAGAAATGTTTAAGTTTATGACGGTAAAAATGCACCAACGGTTCAGCATAATCATTCAATTTTTCTCAGAGGAGGTTCCGAGCACGGTCTCTCCTTTTATTGTCCAGCATGGTGAGTGAAGTGTCTACCACCAAACATGCTCCTGTGTCTTTGAATTTGAGCATGGCCGAAAAGGGCAGCACAGGAGCAAGTAGCCAGACCACTAATAGGTCCGGACGGTCTGTCCGCCACGTATTAATCGGGTCTATAATCACTGAGGGTCAATTTCTCTTCTTTGTGTGAACACTCTAAAGAGTGCCTCACCAGGGTTGAGAATTTCGAGCAGGCAAGAGAAGTGCGTGTGCTGAGTCTCACAATCTCGTCAGCAAAGGTTTGCAAAGCTAGCTGCCCCAGAAAGAGGTGAAATTAAAGACCGAACGCCGCTTTCCCGTCATATTACCATGCACATTCCTTATTTTCACTTTTGTTTCATTCAGTTTTCGCCCATAGAGCCTGTCAGAAATACTGAGTGCAGACTGGGGCTCATTGTTTGAGAAGGTTTCCGATTATAGTAGATCGTTCTGTTAAGAATGCGGACAAGACACGAACACTCGGGTTTATTCCAGAGCTTGCGCGCCAACCAGTTCTATAATGTTCGACAGCACACGTCTA